GAAACATACAGATGGTGTCAATTTGAGAAGCCTTGTAAACTGTAAATAAGCAGTAATACCACACCCCTATAAACAACCTTTCCTTCAAATGAGAAATTATAAATGAGATTCTAAGAAAAGACTCAAAAATGGAATGCTTTAAAAAACCCTCCAGGCATTAGTTTTTTGTTTCCATGTAATCCTCTAGGTTACACAGAGGATTGGGTACTATATTTAATATAAAGTATATTATAAGCAAAAATAAGACAAATCAATATCTAAAGAGGTATAAAATAGAAAACCCCTCTGCTTTCCATTTCGACTCTAAATTGGCTCCCTACCAGGTTGTGAGCAATATTCCATTGCCAGCACCTTCAAAAAATTGGAATACCTTACGGGTGCTCTTACTCTGGTAGTCTGCATCACCTTGTAGAAAGTTTCCAAAATGATTCCTTATAGTATCATACATGATTATTTAGGAACCAGCTTTTTTTTTTTTAAAGGATCTTATTTATTTATTTGACACGAGAGAGAGACAGAGAGAGAGAGAGCACGCACAAGCAGAGGGAGCAGCAGAGGGAGAGGGAGAAGCAGACTCTCCGCTGAGCAGGGAACTCGTTGCAGGGCTCAATCCCAGTACCCTGGTATCATGACCTGGGCCGAAGGCAGATGCTTAACTGAGTGAGCCACCCAGGAGCCCCTAGGAACCAGCTCTTACTTCATCTGTGCGTATAATTTTTGCGCTATGTTAGTGTTCTGGAGGATTGATGAACTGAATATCAAGGTATTTATCACTAAGTTCTTTATTCTCTACTTGATTTAATACTTTGTTGTTTCATCACAAATTTACAGCATCAAAGAGCTGAAAAAAGACTGCAGATTTTGGGACGCCTGGGTGGCTCAGTTGGTTAAGTGTCTGCCTTCGGCTCAGGTCATGATCTCAGGGTCCTGGGATCGAGTCCCACATTGGGCTCCCGGCTCAGCGAGGAGCCTGCTTCTCTCTCTGCTTGCCACTCCCCTGCTTGTGCTTCCTCTCTCTCTCCCTACTAAATAAATAAAATCTTAAAAAAAAAAAGACTGTAGATTTGTCCTTGATGACAACAGTTATATAATATACATAGCATGACAAAAGAATAGGAGCAGGGGTGCCTGGGTGGCTCAGTCGGTTAAGTGTCTGGTTAAGGTCACCATCTCAGGGTCCTGGGTTGGAGCCCTGCATCAGGCTCCCTGCTTAGGGAGTCTGCTTCTCCCTCTCCCTCTGCCCACCTCCCAACTCGTGCTCTCTCTCTCAAAGACATAAAATCTTAAAAAAAAAAAAAAAGAATAGAAGCAGAATGATTTCAAGAGCAGTATATAGATTTCCAATTTTCACTTTGAGACTGACTTTACAGGTGACATCCCAACAGTCAGCAGAGGGCTAAAATGCACTATCTTAATCAGGATGACTTTTTATTTTTATCATATATCACAGTCTGGAAAATGCTCTCAATATGAAGAAGAAGTGGCCAGCCAGGAGGTGCAGTGGTTAAAGGGTCTCGAACATGGCAAGAATCTCAGCTCTGCTACCTACTCTGGGACTTGGGGCAAGATCCTTGAATCTCTCTGGTCACACATTCCTCCTCTCTAAAACGAAGCTAATCACAGCATCACTTAATGGAATACCACAAGTACATATGGAAGGTGCTTAGCATGGTGCTAAGCTCAAGAAATATTATGTTTATTATTATATATTAAAAAGATCATTAAAGAAGAGCGGACCCTGAAACTCAAGCCATTTAACTCTGAGTTTGGTGCTTTTTACATCATGTAAAGTGCTGTGGCTGCTGCTGTCTTGTACAGCTTCCAGAACCGTGCCCTATCATCATATTCCTGTTACCTCAGGTGCAAGTCTCAAAAGGCCAAAGCATGTCATCCATTTTTCTTTTGTTTCACACATTAACATGGATTTCTTTGAAGGATGTACATAGCTCTGGTATGTAACTTCTAACCTGTCGCTTCAAAGCCTTTTACAGAATTCTTAAAAAGTTGACAGTGGTTGAGAATTTTTCTTCACCTTCCTCATTTAATTAACACTAGGGGTTAACATTTTGTGATAGTACTCTGTCTTTGATAAAACACAAAAAGAGGGCTGTGATTTAGGATGAGTTCATACCCTATTTGAGCTAAAGGTATAATAATGCTAGGTCCTAAGCCTTAACATTTATGCTGACATCCTCCTAGAAAGCATAAAACATACAAGGCAACACCTGTAACACTTGAAGGGAGCATGTTTCTTATTATAAAATCTTCTGATTTTTATTTTCTTTTCCTGATATTTGAAATTTCAGGCATTCCATGGACAGCCTGAATGCAATTCTCTATTTCAAAGGAAATCACTTAACATCTGTACTTGAAAGAAGTCAATTGTATCCATTTGTCAAAAGTCCAGTTACCTAGAAAGAGCTGGTTCCTAGGGGCTCCTGGGTGGCTCACTCGGTTACTTAAAAGCCTATTCTAATTCCCTGCCAGATGAGATTTCACCTTTTCATCACTTTGTTTATACTCCATTTATGGCAAATGTAATTATTATTCATAAACATGTCTTACTTACCATCTTCAAAATACATCCAGAATCTCCTGCTTCTTACTACCTTGACCACAACTACTCTAGTTCAAGTTCCTGTCTGGGGCTGCCTGGATTCCTGCAATAATCTCTAACTGGTCTGGCCTTTTCTCCTTTGGTCCTCCCACTTCCACAACGCAGTTAGCATGATCCTGTATAAACTCAGGCCACATTATGTCACTCCTCTTCCTCGAACCCGTTCACCTACCCAGAGTTAAAGGCCAAAGTCCTTATAGGACCCTATAGGGCCTGTCCCCACCCAAGCCCCCAGCTTTTCCTCCTCTTTACTTCACACCCCGCTGATGTTCCTTGAACTCACCAAGTATGCCCTTGCCATGGGGCCTGGCACTTGCTGTTCCCTTGCCATGGAAAATAACATGTCTTGCTCCCCAGGGTTCTCCAAGACTCTGCTAAAACATCACCTTATTAAGTAAGAGAGGCCTTCTCTTACCCCTTTGTATAAAAGTGGCAAATCTCTTCCCTCTCCATTCTCTTTATATCACTTTACTTTTTTTCTACAGCACTTACCAGCACATGGCCTACCGTATATTTAATTATTGTCCGTTTCCCTTCCCTTCAAAAAATCTAAGCTCCACGAGGCCAGGGACTTAATCTGTTCATTGCTCTATCCCGTGCCCGGCACATGGCAGGCAACAAATATTTACTGGATAAAGGAATGGCCCTTTCACCATAGAACATAAACTCTTTGAATTCTTTTCTACCTTTTCCACATCACCAACTGTGAAGACCTTCATTTAAAGGGCCCCCTTAACAAATATTTTTCAATGAACGAAGAGTAAGTGAACTGAAGTTACTGAGAATGCTTGGGACCAATCTACAGAGAATGAGGGCTACCAACAATCTAAGCAACTACACACACCAGAGAGCACACTGGTTCTCAAATGCAAAGGTGGTTGTGGAAAGGGGAACCGGCATCTGTCAACACTTCCGGGCTGTCTTGGTGGAAGTTACCCACGTATCTATAAAATCTCCTGAAGCCCGTTGTCCTAATTCGCTATCCCTAATTAAGCCTTCTGTACCGGTGCTCTGTTTAGGTTCGTCCCCTACTCAAACTCGGCTAGTCTGGATTTTAACCCCGGGCATCTGGCCTCCAGGGCACCGAACGCCGGCACGCAGGCCTTTCCGGGTTGACCAAGTTAACGGGCAGCTCGGCTTCTGCAGGAGCTGCCCCCTAAAAGGCAGAAATACGATGGCGCAGATTCCCAGAGCAGCACAAGTACTTCGCTCAGGTTTCCGCGGGGTCCGGAGGCTCTGGCATTGAGCAGAGAAAGCAGTTCTGCCCACAAATGCCTCCACAACTCAAGTTTCCCGGTGGCCGGTGCAGCACACGCAGCACGGAGGAAGCGCTCTGTAAACTGCAAGCCGCTAGGCAAACAGTACGGAAGATGAAGCTTTGGAAACAATACCCGAAAGAGGCGGGGGACGAATAACTTGCTGACAATGGGCACCGGTCAATACTGGGGGGGCGGGGGCGCGGTGGCGGGAAGGACCGAGAGATGCTGCAGCCCCCCTCCCGGGGCCTGTGGCGCTCCGAGCGCCCGTTTCCGGGGTCGGGGTCCCAGGTGACCGGACGCCCCAGGCCAGAGGCGCCCCCAGACCCCTGTCAACCCGGGCACCGGGCCCCTTCCGCCGTCGCGCCCCACGGCCCGGTCCGCTGCGTCGCGTCCCGCTCGCAGGACCCCCCAGGCCGCCCTCGAGCCTCTCTTGGCGAGCGACCGCCCGCCCACCGCCTCCCCCGCGGCGACTCACCTGCGCGTCCCGCGTCCTCCTTTTCCTCCCTCCCGAGGCGTCTGGAGCCGACCCGCGGCGCCGTCCCGCCTCCCGCCCTCGCCCCGCCCCCTCGGAGCCGGAACCGCTCCCTTCAGCGCCCTTCTCCCCGCCTCCTCAGCCCTAGTGTGGCGTCACTTCCGCCAGCGCCGGGCCGCGCGCCGCGACTGTGGGTGTCGCGAACGCGCCGGGAGCGTCCCAGAACCGGGAGCGCGCCCCGCGTATGACAACAAATTCGTCGCGCGGCGGCGGTGGAGGAGTCCGCCTCAGGACCTGCCTCAGGCTCTGCCGCCTCCCCGCGTGTTCTCTTGCATCCTCTCTCGGTGACTACTACTAGGGTCCTCGCGGAGGCCCCGCACTCCCTGCCCGGGCCTGGGGCGACGGAGACTGCTCTGTGCCTGGTCCCCGCCAGGCCTAGCGCGAGGCGCGCGGCGCGGACGATGGGGTCGCCCTGAGGGACGCCCGGCGCCGAGCGGGCATGGAGGGGCTCTCCCGGGCATAGGCCCCGCCGCGGACTGGGCACGCGGGCCGGGACCCGAGGCGCCGCCGCCGCGGCCTGGAGCCGGAACCTGGGCCCCAGGGCCGGAGTCGCCGCCTGCAGCCCCCGCGGGCCCCGTTGCCAGCCCTCATCATGCCTTGGCCGTTTTCGGAGTCCATCAAGAAGAGGGCCTGTCGGTACCTCCTGCAGAGGTACCTGGGCCACTTCCTGCAGGAGAAGCTGAGCCTGGAGCAGCTCAGCCTGGACCTGTACCAGGGCACCGGGTCCCTCGCCCAAGTCCCCTTGGATAAATGGGTAAGAGCCGCCGGCGGCCAGCCGGGTGGGTCTCGCTCCCATCCTTAGGGCGATTTGAACGAGTGTCACCCGAGCTTGGTGACATTCAACCCCTCCCTGGGAATTGTTTGGATCCAAGGTTTGCAGGGCTCACAGAAATGTGTTCAATCAAGTGTTTAGTCTGTTTCTAGCAAGTTGCGTCCCGAAATCACGTGTTTCAGAAACTTAGAGGTGACGGAGTCTACAGGGAGGGAAGCAGTTGCGTCAGTGGTTTGGGGGTTTTGGAAAGTTGGCCGCGAGGGGTCCCTGGAAGGTGGTGACCAGGGCTGACCCTTGGGTAGCAGGGGTCGCGGGGTTCCGTGGCAAACAAATCCTATTTCATGGGATGACACTCTGGAAAGATTAAGGATGAGGAGGACCTTTGGGGATGTCTGAATTCCTAGTTAGTCCTTTATTTATTTTGGGTTGGCTACTTGAACACCGTGGTCTCCGTACAGCGTCTGCCCTCTGGAAGGAAGTTAGGTGAAGGCCTCCGGCCGGCCGGTCGGCTTGCCTGTTTTTTGCTTGATGTTATGTTTACAAGGCCAACCCGTGAGTGGTTGTGTGGCCCTAGTAGCGCTGGTTAGTTTTGCTTACTGGCTTCACGTGACAGATCGTAAAAGCAGGTGTTGCAAAAGTGCTGAAGCTGCGATTTTCAGACATTTAAAAACCTGTTTTCTACTTGTCAGCTAGAGGCTGTGAGTTGACTCAAACTGTGTGTTTTACAGGTGCTTCACGTATAGTTTAACTCACCACGTATGGTTGTACCTGCATTTGTATGTTCAATGCGTTGTATTTCACTTAAACTGTATTTAGCCTTGAGTTGAGCAAGAATGGAGCGGCTTTTCTCCTTCCCCCAACCCTTTATTTGTTGGCTAGAGTTTGCTGCTGGCAGTTTGAATTGGTTGTGTTATCTTAGAATTTTACTATTCTAAAAGCATTCCTACACAGGGTACATTTAGGAAATTATAAACATAGGTGACTTGCTGGTGATAGTTGAGCAAAACAAAAGGAGACCTCCCCCTCCCCCCCATTTAAACTGTTTAAAAAGCCTAAATATTTTTTACTTTTATATAAAGGTGTTAACAGAGTAATGACTTCCTTAGCCACAGAAACCTGAAAAATTCAGATTATGCTAACACCTTATAATGACCCTTTGATGAATTTGTACTAGTATGAATAAACATACCTTTTTTTAGTAAGTAGATGACTTAACTAGGGAGAGTACAAATGATAGTGGAAAGAGCCCTGGTTTGAGTAGACCTAGTCCCACACCAGGCTAGATCATCCTAGCCCAGGCTGCCAGTTAGTTCAGTGACAGTCGAGGTAGTAATTCACCAGAGTTTAAGAAACATTAATGGAGTATGCATTCCATGCCAGGCACTGTGTCAGGGTAGTATATTGCTGTAATTCATAGCTGAAGATAGGGATTCTGATGGATATTTTTAATTTCGGTGACCCATGAATCTATATACTTCTAGTATAGGTATGAATAAGCTATCTTAGAGGAGGAGGTTTGGACATGTATTGTCTTTTGTGGGTTGAGTGACTTTATGCATTATTTTTTAATGACTTGTCACATTAACCCCATAAGGTGGGTATTATTATTTCTATTTTAAAGTTGAAATTAAAAAAAATGTGCCCCAAGTCAGACAGCAAGTGGTACTGTGAGAATTCAAACCTAATTCTTAAGCCCCTTATTTCTTCATTAATCACATGGCTTCAAAGCAGGGAAAAGGCAGTTAATGTTTATTGAGCATCTGTTTATTTTAGGCACTGTGCTAGGCACTTTTATTTGTGTAGTTTTAATTTAATTTTCATGGGAAATCAGAGGTGATATTTGTTTTTTTGTTCTGTTTTTACATGTTTTGTTTCTTTTTTAGGGAGAGCACTCGTGTGGGGAGGCGCAGGGGGGTGTTGTAAAGGGGGAGAAAGGGGGAGGGAGAGACGGAGGAATTTTTTTTTTTTGTTAAGATTTTATTTATTGATTTGAGAGAGAGAGAGAGGGAGTGAGTACAAGCAGGGGGAGTGGCAGGCAGAGGGAGAAGCAGATTCCCTGCTGAGCAAGGACCCCGATGTGGGACTCAATCCCAGGACCCTGGGATCATGACCTGAGCCGAAGGCAGCCACTTAACCAACTGAGCCACCCAGGCGCCCTGAGAGTGAGAGGGCACAAGCAGGGGGAGTGGGAGAGGGAGAAGGAGGCTCCCCGCTGAGCAGGGAGCCCGATGCGGGGCTTGATCCCTGGAGCCCATGATCATGACCTGAGCCGAAATCAAGAGCAGACACCTAACCAACTGAGCCACCTAGGTGCCCCTAAAGTGGTGTCTTTACTTTGAAGAGATGGTGTGTTTTGTTTTTTGGAATATAACTGCTAGGTAGCATATGCTATTGATAGCCATGGGTCATCACATAAATAGTATATTTGGAACTCTTTTTGTGTAGAAGAAAACTGCTTATCTTTAAATTCAACTCTTAAATATTTGGCCATAAGAAAACCAGGAAATCAGAAAGTTTTTGCCATATTCTGTCTCTTTACAAAGATCCTACTGTTTCAAGATCTGTTTTTATTAATGTAGAATCAATGCTAAATTAAGTTTCAGTATCCTGAAATGGAATATCCAAGTGAGGACACCACTCTTAACATTACCCCAGTGTGGAGCTGCTGTTCTTTGCTTTGTGCCAATCTGATGAATGGCGTGAGTGAGAGTACCAATGCCCATTTGTATATCAAATATTGGTACAACTTTTAAATCTAAAAATGTGAAAAATTGAGGATTGAATGTCTAACTTCTCACATACCTATAAGTCCTCTGTTCTACTCTATGGGATACATACACTGCACTTTGGAGATCACTACCTTTGAAGGGCTTAAAGTGGGAGGGAGGACTAGAAGCAGAGGGTTTGAGACTATTCTACAACTGTAGTGGGTTCATATATTCATATATTGTTTTCCCAAGGAAGTGGTTGAAAATTTAAAATGTTGAAAGAAGGATATTCTCCTTGGGTAGGAAGTTGGATTTGATGACTCATCCTTTTCCAACTCTAAGACTTTGACTTTATTCTTATTTTTTTAATTGAAGTTTTTTCATCAATTGGTTCATTTACATTTACTGAGTTCTTAGCATGTGCCACAGTGAGGGGCTGGGGGAGATAGCAGTGGATAAAGACCCTTTCCTTGCAGAAATTCAGTATGTCCAGGAAGAGAGACATTGAGACATTGAAGCTTTTTAATTTCAACTTAAATCATCTTTCTGTTGCTTTCCTGCTTATACTGGTATATATAATAAAATTATCTTTAGTTCAAGCAACATTTGATTACTAATTCTATGCCAGATGGTGTAGTAGACCAGTGTTACCTTCTCTTTTTCTATCTTTATGTATGAAACTCATTGATTACTGAAAGCAAAATGGCCTTCAACATAAGAAAAACTCTAAGGTAATCTGTGATAGGACACTTGCTGAGCACTTCAGGTGGCTCTGCTTTTAGGTCAAGAATTAATCACAAGGATATACTTCGTTGGGCTAATGAGGAAAATGTTGCCTGAGTAGATAACAAGGAATCCATTTGGCCAAGTAAGCTGAGAATTTTGTCCTACTCATATACTGTAGTAGACCTTCGAATTTCACAGAATGAGTGAATTTCTAAGTACTTTATGATACTGAATATAGGGGATTTTGCCCAAGTGCATATAAGACTGCATGTAAGTATGACCTATTTAAACATATTATATTTAGAGATAGTATTTTGTACCTTAGTGGCACAGTGTAAATTCTTGAACTGTTGACTCTAACCCTAACCCTAACCTTGAGATCATGACCTGAGCCGAAGGCAGACAGCTCAACTGACTGAGCCACCCAGGTGCCCCCCCAAATTTCAGACTTTTAATTATGGAAATAACCCATAAGATAAGCCATTCTGAACTTTTTAAATGATGGGCCTTTTTTTAGAGTCAAACATTCTAAATTTTTCTCTTAATATTGTTATGAAAATATGAAAAACATGAGTAGAGGGATGATCTTGAATGACCATAGCTTACTGCAGTTTATTGGCTTAATAGGAAATATTAGATACAGAGAAGGTTGTGTTTGTCCCCCCTCTCTGTCCCTGTGGGTGTGGGGAGCAATGGGAGAGGAAAGGAGGAGATTGAGATTGATGGGAGAATAAGTTTTGACATTGTTTGTTTTTTTTTTAAGGGGACTTTGGAAAATCCAGACAGATGCTCAGGAAGCGGTGGGAGCTATATGTTGTTAACCTTAAAAATAAAACTAGCAGTTGCTTTGCTGGCAAAAATTGGTTTATTTGGTAACAGCAGAGAATTGCAATCTGGGACAAGTAAAGCTACAGCAAAACTATAGGCAAGTCTGGAGAACAAAGAAGAAGTAAGTTCTTTTACAGAGGAAAGGGAGAAGTTGGAAGGGCTGTTAGAAACAAAATGTCCGGGGCGCCTGGGTGGCTCAGTCGCTAAGCGTCTGCCTTCGGCTCAGGCCATGATCCCAGGGTCCTGGGATCGAGTCCCACATCGGGCTCCCTGCTAGACGGGAAGGCTGCTTCTCCCTCTCCCACTCCCCCTGCTTGTGTTCCCTCTCTCGCTGTGTGTCTCTGTCAAATAAATAAAATCTTTAAAAAAAAAAAAAAGAAACAAAATATCCATTGGAGTAAACTGGGAGTTTGCAGTAGAGTGGCTCTTCATTGGCTGAACTGTGACTGTTTCTCCCCAGCTGGGCAGTTGTGGGGGGCCGGGGAAGAAGGAAATTTTCCTACCTCCTGCTGGGACAGGAAGGTAGTAGCTAAGGTAGGCTGGACTTGCAAGGTAGATCTCTCCTTGTTGAGTCTGCAACTGACCACCAGTGGTAGGGCATGAGAGCTTTCCCTGCTGGCCTCCTGTCTCCCATTTAATTTAATTTAATTTTATTTTTCAAGATTTATTTTTTATTAGAAAGCGTGTGGGAGTACAGGGGGAGGGGCAGAGGAAGATGGA